ACGTGTATTATATTGTTGTTTAATACGGCATGTCAAGTAACACAACATGCACACGTATTGTTGTTTAATACGGCATGTCATGTAACACAACATGTACATGTATTATTGTTTAATACGGCATGTCAAGTAACACAGCATGTACATATATTATTGTTTAATACGGCATGTCAAGTAACACAACATGTACATGTATTATTGTTTAATACGGCATGTCAAGTAACACAACATGTACGTGTATTGTTGTTTATTACGGCATGTCAAGTAACACAGCATGTACATGTATTGTTGTTTAATACGGCATGTCAAGTAATACAGCATGTACATGTATTATTGTTTAATACGCGGCATGTCAAGTAACACAATATGTACATGTATTATTGTTTAATACGGCATGTCAAGTAACACAGCATGTACATATATTATTGTTTAATACGGCATGTCAAGTAACACAACATGTACATGTATTATTGTTTAATACGGCATGTCAAGTAATACAGTATGTGCATGTATTGTTGTTTAATACGGCATGTCAAGTAACACAGCATGTACGTGTATTATATTGTTGTTTAATACGGCATGTCAAGTAACACAATATGTACATGTATTATTGTTTAATACGGCATGTCAAGTAACACAGCATGTACATGTATTGTTGTTCAATGCGGCATGTCAAGTAACACAACATGTACATGTATTATTGTTTAATACGGCATGTCAAGTAATACAGCATGTACATGTATTGTTGTTTAATACGGCATGTCAAGTAACACAACATGTACATGTATTATTGTTTAATACGGCATGTCACGTAACACAGCATGTACATGTATTATTGTTTAATACGGCATGTCAAGTAACACAACATGTACATGTATTATTGTTTAATACGGCATGTCAAGTAACACAACATGTACATGTATTGTTGTTCAATACGGCATGTCAAGTAACACAACATGTACATGTATTATTGTTCAGTACGGCATGCAAGTAATACAGCATGTACATGTATTGTTGTTTAATATGGCATGTCAAGTAACACAGCATGTACATGTATTTGTGTTTAACACGGCATGTCAAGTAACACAGCATGTACATGTATTGTTGTTCAATACGGCATGTCAAGTAACACAGCATGTACATGTATTTGTGTTTAATACGGCATGTCAAGTAATACAGCATGTACATGTATTGTTGTTCAATACGGCATGTCAAGTAACACAGCATGTACATGTATTGTTTATTACGGCATGTCAAGTAACACAGCATGTACATGTATTATTGTTTAATACGGCATGTCAAGTAACACAACATGTACACGTATTGATGTTTAATACGGCATGTCATGTAACACAACATGTACATGTATTATTGTTTAATACGGCATGTCAAGTAATACAGTATGTACATGTAGTGTTGTTTAATACGGCATGTCAAGTAAC